AACACATTTATTGATTTATTGATTTACACGGACGCCGCAATCTGAATTTCATGACGATTTTTTTGACGTTTGTATTCTGGTTGGGTCTACGTTTGATTTTTTTCGGAAAACCTTCATCACTCTCGCGAAGTACAACCACGAGATCTACTTTAGGTCTATTTAGGCTGGTTGCACGTTACAGGACTCAGTTCCTGATGGATCTCTTCAAAGATCCAATTTTGTCTAGTGCAATACCAATGGTGACTCCGACAAGGTGCCATAGGGCCACTGGAGGCAACCTCGTTGTGGGTGACTGCTGACGATTTTGACTTCCGAATTTGCACTTTTTAACTTGGTAATTCATCTAAGGAAAGCGAAACAGTTGGCCTTTCGGTTTTTCAGCCTTTTTGAGATGTCCTGCCGCGCCTGCCGTCCCTTGTGAAACTTGGGCATGCGTCTCTACCACAGTGAAGTCGTTGGGAACCACCAGAAACTCCATTTTCACCTTCGCAGCTTTTGAAGTGAGAAACAAACATGTCGCTTGAGCAGCCATTCAGGCAGGCACACGCTTTCCAGGTGTGGTCCCTTTTCTTTTTGGTACTCTGGTGAGGTTGAACATATTGTGCACCTAATTCGTTGGAACTCGTATAGCTGTCTATGCCATTGGGGCGCGACTTGACAACGGTCCCGAAGGGGAGTAACGCACGACTTCTGTTGTAGGTGGAACGGCCCTTTTTAGATGAATTGTTTTGGTTGATTCACGCCCGTCACCAACTAGCCCCCATTCGGTCCCTAATTATTCCCTGTGCTTCTCCGTAATGTGTCGTGGGGTTTAGGTGTGTGCTCTGTTTTTGTCAGGTCCGTTTCGCCGCGTAGGTTGGTTCTGGAGGTCCGTTCCTTCCCTTCGCTGTTCTGGCCTTTTGCCCGTCATTTGTGTCCGCTTTTTCCTTCCTCTTGCCTTTCAGGGTTGACCCGGCTCCGGCCGGGTGTGTGTGTGTGTGTAACATCTAAATAGATGTAAAACTGCTCCTTTTTTCTTTTTCTTTCTTCTCTCCTTTTAATAAAGCAGGGGGACGTGGCATACAATCAGGGACCACGTCCAACGAAGCTACTTGATTGTATGGGATACAGAGCCTGATCAGCTCTGTGTACCTGCATTTTCTGACCGTTCATGGCAAGAGGCTAAGCCAAGGACCTCACCAAACACATTTATTGATTTATTGATTTACACGGTCGCCGCAATCTGAATTTCATGACGATTTTTTTGACGCTTGTATTCTGGTTGGGTCTACGTTTGATTTTTTCGGAAAACCTTCATCATTCTCGCGAAGTACAGCCACGAGATCTACTTTAGGTCTATTTGTCTAGGCTGGTTGCACGTTACAGGACTCAGTTCCTGATGGATTTCTCCAAAGATCCAATTTTGTCTAGTGTGTGGCACATCTGTACAGATGTAAAACTTCAGGGTTTTAGACCGGCACTAACAAAGACGCTCATCAGTTGCCTGTGATATCGATGGGGACGCTCATCGACGTACCTGCTCCAATTTTTTCACGTCAATTTTGTCTGCAATGGGACGTGGCTAACCCAAGAACCGCCATGCCGTTTCCAAACCATTTGTTTTCAACTTCTCGTGCTGCACTTGTCGCAATCGGCATTTATTTATATATTTATTTTCGACATCTTGGTCATGGCCTATGGTCTATTCGATGGTATCTGGTGGATTTCGATTTGATGACATTCATGGCAGCGATTGTCTTCTTGGAGTACCTCATATTGATCAACTTAGGTTCCGATTTTTGTTTGTTCCTGAGTAATTTGCACGTTAAAGGATTCAGTTCCTGATGGATCTCTTAAAAGATCCAATTTTGTCTAGTGTAATATCCATGGTGACTCCGACATGGTGCCATGGAGCCACTGGAGGCAACGCTGTTTAGGGTGACTGCTGACGATTTGATTTCAGAATTTACACAATTTAACTTGGTAATTCATCTAAGTAAAGCGAAACAGTTGGCCTTTCGGTTATGCACCTTTTTTTGAGATATCCTGCTGCTCCTGCCGTCCCTTGTGAAACCTGGGAACGCGTTTCTTTCACGTCGAAGATGTCCGAAACAGTCAGAAACCTGATCTTTACTGCAGCTCCAGCTTTTGCAGCGACAGATGACCAAAACATGACATCAATGCCAGGCAGGCACACGCTTTCCAGGTGTGGTTCCTTTCTTTTTACGGTTCTCTGGTGAGGTTGAACATTTTGTGCATCTAATTCTTTGGAACTTGTTTATGCCATTGCGGCACGACTTGACCACGGTCCCGAAGGGGAGTAACGCACGACGTCTGTTGTAGTTGGAACTGAGTCCTTCTTTGATCTCTTGTTATTTTATCATTCAATTCAACTGCGAGCTTTGATCCCGTGGCACCATCCTTCGGCATCATGGCCGACTTCATCAAGCCCATCGCCTACGGCACCAACGTGGCCTCCTTCCGCAACATCGTCAACGATGCCTACACTTACACCTTTACCTTGGCCAACTCCTCCACCGACATCTATTCCACCTCCAGTCCACCATCATCCTGCTCACCATCCAGAGTACCCACAATTTCATTCAACTCCGGCTTCATTTTCGACCTCGACACCCGGCCCTGGTGACCATCTTTTCCGACAAGCCTCTATGTTGCATTCTCCCTGGCCCCCTATGACCTCTTCGCCGGTTTCGACAAGTTTGCCAACTCCACCAACATTTCCATCCATCACCGCTCCACCTCAATTGTCACAGCCGAACATGCCTTTGACCGCACCTTCACATCCGGGCTTTGCAACTTTTCCATCCAGGGGGCGGTTTGAACCTCCAACCTTCCCTACACCAACGGCATCTTTTTCGCCACATCCGGGGCTTCTATGACAACTCCATGTCAAGCAAGTCCGACTCTTGACGCCACTATGGCCCATCCAGCCCCACACAGTACGACAACCACACCAACAGCCAACCCACCAATTCCGACAAGTCCTGCCACACCACTGAGAAACCTCTTTCTGGCACCCAAGTAAGCCGCATAGGCAGAGTCATAGGCCTCCACATCGTGCCATGGTAGTCATGCTCATGGGCCTCCTCAGCATCAGTCTGGTAGTATGCAGCTTGGGAGTCAAAAATCTCCTCCCCACTCCAGTGCTCTTCATCAGCGTCGGGCTCATTGTCATCCCAGCCATAGTGGGCACCATCATCATATTCAGATGGCCATTCGGACGCCGCGTAGTCATACTCAGCGGCGTCCTCATCCTGAACCACATAGCCACGGTGCTTGTAGGCTCGATTGCCATGGAAGCCTCTTCGTGAGCACCAGCTTTGAAGTCCTGACCCAAAACCGGGTCAGGTTTGCCTCTCGCAACAAATGCCAACCTTGAACAGCATCAGGGAGAGCTGCTGTACATTGTGTTTCTCAAGACGCCTATTCAACTCATCATGCTATGTGACGAAACTCAAAAGGGTTTGACCAGCTCTGCGACTCAAACCAAAGTATCCATCAAAGTCTGAAGGGATTTGAACACGGGAATCATATTCAAAATGCTGATCAAGTAGTTTCAGCAAGTCCTGGAAGGCATTGTCCTCCTCAGCTTTGGCAACATCAAAGTCCTCCACCAAGCGCCATGCAAAGCCTGTAAGCGAGCCCACGATGTTCAAAATGGACTCCCCCTTGCGCTTGGCCAAGACCATCTTCTGGTGGTACAGGTTGATGCGTTTCCTCCAATCTCGATATTCTGCCGGTTGACCTGAGAACAATGGGATGTATATGAATCCCTCTGAGAGTTGCCATTGCTTGACGATGCAGCAAAATTGTCGCCATTGTCAGGGAGGATCACACCTTCGAATTCCGGGATCTGCTCTATGACTGGGTGGAGCTTGGCAGTGATCTCAAAACGTCGTCCTCAGTCAGCAAATCCAATTGGGCTCAGCTGGCCGGCAATTGGTTGACGCTGGCTCCGCTACCAATGCGAAGCAACTGTGTATATTCCACCAAGTCCCCAATGCTTGCCAGAAGGCTCCCGAAGTCCTCCTGGAACACAAAGTCCACAAAGCGCCTTTCAAGCGCTGCACCGTGCCAAAGTTGGCTGTCAAAGCCTATGATCGAGTGGCATCGGATCAGTGGAAAGGTTGGAACCTATGACCCATGGACTGACATGAATGCATGGCATGCATTTCACACTGTCTTACTTATCCTCACCTATCTTGTCTACTTTTTCTACCTTATCTTTCTTATCTATCTCACGTACCTAATCTATCGATCTATCTAAGCTATCTAAGAATCTAATCTATCTAATCTGGTTACTAACCGATTTAGTATCTATCTAACCAACCAATCAACCAATCAATCAATCAATCTATCGATCTATCAATCAACCCATCTTTCTGTCTATCTTTCTATCTGTCTACCTGTATATATATTGATATTGTTAACCGAATTGGTTTAGTTTCCCGACTCCAGATTTTGGCCCGCTCTGGAAAGGCATGGCATCATCTTTCTTGTTCTTGTTCTTGTTCTTCTTCTTCTTCTTGTTGTTGTTGTTGTGGTTGTGGGTCGTCCTGGTGGGTCGTCGTCGTGGGTCGTCGTCGTGGGTCGTCGTCGGTGGGTCGTCGTCGCGGGTCGTCGTCGTGGGTCGTCGTGGGTCGTCGTGGGCCGTCGTTGGCCGTCGCCGTCGCCGTCACCGTCGCCGTCGCCGTCGCCGTCGCCGTCGTCGTCGCCGTCGCCGTCGTCGTCGTCGTCGTGGACGTCGTGGACGTCGTCGTCGTCGTCGTGGTTGTTGTTGTTGTTGTTGTGGCGTATTGTACTGATCGCTTGCATCCAGAAACGTGTCTTCTCGCACCTGGCATTTTTTGACACATCTTTCGCAGGGATGGGCACGGGCACCTTTCAAATACATTCAAATACCGCCAAGTATTCTCATGAGGTTGCAACTACGGATAACAGGTGTGAACTGATTGCTTCAGTGGGTTTGTCCTCACTTTACCTCGTCGTTGTGCTCTGAGGCAGAAGTGTCCGAATGGACAGGTTGGCTTGCCAGATTGCCACATGCTGGTTGTACGGCATAGCGGCCCCACCCCTGGCAGAGTGAACGATTGCGCTCCGCAAGCAAAAACGAGCTCGAATCCATCTGCAATTTACGCAGCTTGCTCCAAGAGAAACTGATTGACGTTTTTTACCTTGCCGTTTTGTTTTTTTTTCTGGTTTCCTAAATGCAGATTGACAATTTTTCATTGACATCGCTTACTGATGATTGAACCATTCCAACAAAAGGAGCCCTGATTATTTCCAAACCCGAAGGGGCATGTTTCCAGAACCGAAATCCCATCATGCTCTGAAGATTGAAGTCCCATGGCTAACCGTTGGTGCGGCCCTGTCAGTCCTATCAATCCTATCATTGTTACTGTAGAGGTGGAAATTGGTTCATGTCCATCGTTGTCTTCACTATCATTGCATTCTTGAAATAATATATTACTCGTATCATGACGATGAGGATGATGACGATGATGACGATGAGGATGATGATGATCATGATGGGGATGATGATGAGGATGATGATGATAATGATGATGATTATGATGATGATGATGAGTGATTATGTTTATTAGTGTTTTTGTTATTATTATTGTTGTTATATTTGGTAATTAATATTGTTTTGTTCATTCTTGCTTATTACTGTTGTTTATTGTTGATTAGTTGTTATTATTCTTATTATTGATTCGTATTTTGGGACAAGCAAACATGAATGTAATTTGTTTATTCTTATTTCGTCTTCTTCTTTACTTTTGGTTTGTTATCATTTATATATTATTATGTTTTTTTCATGGTTGTTTATTTATCATGAATTATTTTCATATTTTTCAACCATTATTGTTGATTGTTTATGATTCATTATTTTTCTTTTTTGATTTTGATTTATTATTATTATTTTCTTTTATTTATTTTCAATTGTTATTATGATTATCATTTTTTGAGATTTAAAACATGGCCATCATCGTCATCATCACCGCCACCACCATCATCATCATCATCATGTCATCTCAGTTTATCACTTCATATGATTTAGTTTTGTTTGCTTGCACCTGATGCGTTTGTGTTGATTTCAAATCGGAAACACCCAGGCGATCAAATTGTTGGATTTGTTGTGCGTTCTCGTGTCCTATCGTAGTTTCGCCTTATGGAACAATCAACTTAGAAAACGGTTCCGCTCCAGAATGGGGTTTTGCAGTTGACAAGTTGCAGGTCTTTTGCTCAGCGTACCCTTCCAGCAAGACGTTTTCATTGCTTAAAATCATGAAGTATAGCAACTGCGCGACCGTAAATTCTTGAATTCATAGCGCGTTTGGATTTTACTTTTTGACCCAAACAACCTTGCATTGTTCGCATTACTTTCAAACTTGCCACCTGAATTGAGGCCAGATATTTGCATATATAATATTATATACGAATATGATTTTGCACCATGTTTTTAAGCAAAAACCAAATTTTTAACCAAGATAAGTAAACAAGAAAGAAACCAAGAATTGGGCCAATCACAATCACTCAAAATAGTATTTTTTTCGGAGCGAACCTCCTTGCACAGCCAACTTTGCTTTGTGGGTGGTCCCGTCCAAGAGCATCATTGAGGATGTTTTTCTTTGGAAAACCTTCCGATTGTGGTAGACAATTCTTTGTTTGTTGCTACTTGCGCTTTGGTATGGCATGCATCTTGTTTACCATAGGGTTTTTTCCCTGTGGAACTGATAAGCTGAATGTCAACGGCAAGTTAGCAGGGTCATTTTTTTTAAGCATATGATTACATCATGTTGGCTTATCCACTATTTTCTATTACAGTATTCTACATATACACTCGCTGTATATGTGTATATTACAAACTGTGATAGTGTTGGGAAATTTGGAATTACCCATACAGGTATAGTTTGTTTTATGCATCGTATGCTATCTTATTGTATTATATTATCACCAAAGTGATGCTGTTCATCAGTATCCGATCATCCAGATTCTATGTCTGTACTGGTCTCATCCCACTGCAACGTTCCCTTGCGACCCTGAGGCAAGAGATCCTTCTGATTTCTCTGAACTTCTGGGATATCGAGAACTCTAATGACTTAATCATCAGTTTTGGGAAGCTTGGTACGACTTTGATGACTTTGGTACGGGCAGATCTTTTTGATCTAACTGTTAACAATGTAGACTCTGTGAGCAGCGGCAACCGCGCTTAAGGGAGTTGTATTTTCTTTCCCAGAAATCTAGAGATTTGTAACCTGGACTAGGTGCTATTGAATTTGCTTGTACCATTTGGCAATCTAGCGGACGTCTGGAAAATAACTTTTTCTAATATGAACATCATCAACAAATTGATGTTTGACAACTGCTGTGATACACCACTCGCAGAGGGACATAGAAGACTTTGGAAGAATTGGTCAGTTTTTCATATCCTAGATAGATTCATGTGCAGCATTCCACTTTCAGGGAATTGTGCTTCTAGTGTTCACCATACAGCCAGTTCCAGCTGGATTGATTCACCACATTTCAGTGGGATCTGATTCCATTTGAGGGTCAATGACAACCTCATCTATGAGTAGTGGAAACCCCACCTACGACACAGCGGCGTCCCAGCACATCCGATAGGTTTTTGGTGATGTCCTCATGTTTCTTGGTGAACCTTTACCTTTTGAAGGGCTTTCAAAAAGCCCCAGAAATTTGGTAGGGCCCGAAGATCCCTCCATTTTGTCCACCACATCCTTCAGGTCGGGGGACACCACAACGGCTAATGCTGGCGGAAATGGACAGGCTTCACAAGAGCAGTTCTTCAACAAGCAGGCCGGTGACCCCGGTGACCCCGGTGACCCCGTTGACTGGGACGGTTTACCTTGAAGTCATGGATGTGAAGAAAGAATTCATGAAAAGTATCCCTCCAGTTGAACGAACACCCATACTGGCCATACTGGCCTCCCATCCCATACCAAGGCGTGTTTGGATATGATCCTCCTTGATCAACATTGCATCGACAGATCTGGAAAGTATCGCACATACGGAAACAAGACAACATGCCACAAGCACATCCGCACACCATTGTCACACCATAGGGGTTGCGCATGCAGTTGCACATGGCTATTCTTTTCCTTTCTCTTTCAAAATCGGTGGTTCCCTGGAATATGAGGAAAGACTTTTTTCCTAAAGCGTTAAAACCATGCATCCTGTCGTGATTCCGTGAAACTTTTTAAGGAAAGAGAAATGGGACATGGGGGGCGCGCGGAGGAAACCACTGGCATCACAATGCTTGAAGTATGTGAAAGCAGTAATATTAAATTTCGTGAAGTCTTGTTTATTTGCCCAATATGCGTTTATGGGTCAATTCTGTTAGCGAAGGGGCCAATATGCGTTTAAGGTGTATCAAAAAAAAATGTGCGCCATAAACGCATATTGGGGAATCTAACCACTGAAAACCCATTTACCAACATTTACCATGAATGAAGGGAACCATCGAAAAAAAATAGTAAATGTTGCGAGGTCCATTTTTTTGTGTAATATGCGTGTTTAATGTATTTTGGGTGGCAGGGACCTTAATTTGCGTTTTCAGTGTGAAATAAGATTTTGGTGGATTTCTGCCAGCTATACCAATCAACCATGTGATTTACTGGGTTTGAGGAAAAATACCATCGGATTGTGTGAGGATATCGTCCGAATTTTCTCAGGATATCCACATATATCAAGAGAAGGTTCTTGTGGCAGTCAGAATATCCTGAACGTACATCAAGACAGTGTCCAAGATTTTTTGGATGTACATGATAAAACTGCTTAAAGGAAAATGAACAACATGGCAACATTTTCAAAGGATAAGATGGGACATTTTGGAGGATGTCGCTTTTGGAAACTGATGGAAATTTTGTTTTGCGGATGCCATCACAGTTTCCGAAGGATAAAAAATCTCTGAGGATCAGAAATTTCTGAGAAATAATTCTCTGACGGTATCATCAAAAAGCATCTAGGATGTTCTTCTAGGATGTTCTAGGATTCTAGGATATCAGCAGAACCTCTGGGGGATACATTCAGAAATTTCTGTGGGTCACCAGATTTATCTGAGGATATCATGAACCATTTCCGAGAATATCAGAATTTGCAGATGACCAAACCTTTGAAGGATATCATGAGGATTTTATCAGGATATCATTTTCGCGACATGCATCAGGTAATTTTGAGCAGGGAAAAAGAGGCAAACACAACAAGTAGAGCAGCGCATGCTGTATGTATACAAAATAGCGGCATGCTTTGTGTTTGTTTTTCCTTTGAGAATCAGATTTGCCAAGGATCTTCATTCTGACAGTCACTGGATATATCTGGTGATTCAATGTCGAATACATTTGATGCTTATCATACAATGTTATGGTCAATTTAAAAATGAATATAGCTTTGATGGCCAGGGAAAAAACAAACAAAACAAGTAAAACACTGAGTGTTGTCTGTGTACACAATAGGGCCCTGCTTCGTGCTGAACTTTGCTCTTGGAGAAACATTTTTTTGCAAGGATCATCGTTCTGACGAACACCAGATATATCCGATGACTAGTGGAATTGTCATTAACAGATCATTTTTCTGATGATTGTTAAAAAATCTAGAGACTCCTCAGAATTTCTGAGGATCCTCGGAATTTTCTGAGGGTCGTCATCCTCAGAATTTTCTGAGGATCGTCATCCTCAGAATTTTCTGAAGATCCTCATCCTCATAATTTGCTGAGGATCCTCAGAATTTTCTGAGGATCATCATCCTCAGAATTTTCTGAAGATCCTGATCCTCAGAATTTTCTGAGGATAGTCATCCTCAGACTTTCCTGCAGATCCTCAGAATTTTCTGAGGATCCTCAGAATTTTCACTCAATAAGCGTTTTTTTGGATGAACATGTGCCAAAAGAACGCTTATTTTCAAACAAAAAATCGCTTATCGAGTGAAGGTTCTGAGGATCCTCAGGAAATTCTGAGGATGACGATTTTTTCAAACTTCTGATGCATTTCTCCTGAGTCTCTTGTCAGGCCTGTCAGAATCATTTCTCTCACTGACAAATTTACTTTTTGAAAACATGGCTAGGAAAGCCTGGGGCCATAAACTGCAGCTGAGATTGTGCATTGTGCTTTCTCCTTGAAAGGTTCCCCATAGTCTGCAAATTG